GACCAGCGGTCCCGCCGTGACGATGAGGACCGGGACCAGTGGTCCCGTGGTCGCTGGTAGAGACGCCAGCGGCGTGCACCAGCGCCCTCCGAACAGTGTTCGGATACAGTTTTGAAGGGCCAGTGGTCCTTTCGTCTGCGCCAGTTTCACACAGGTGCAGAGCACAGTGTGCCGGCACAGTCCGGCCACACGAGCCTCCCGCTGCTCACCGGCCTGTCTGCGGATCGCAGAAGGCAGGTGCAGCGCACCTTCACAAACGGGCTCAGCCCAGGGACTCGCACCGCGAGGTTGAAAAAAGAACACCGCAGGTTGCGCGTGCACACAGACCTTGTGGGGCTGCAGTTTGTTTTTCCTAGTAGGATTCAATTCAGTTTCCCACGACCTGGTAAGTCCTCTGGATGTTGCACCTCGGTGCAGTGCCACCAGCGTGGCCGTGAATACTCCAGTGCGTGATCGCCGCAGCCTTTTAAGCCTCACTTCCCTCCCAGCCTCTCTCTCCCTCCTCTCCTCCCTCAGGACTGCCCGGGGAGGCAGCGCGTCGCTTGAGTGGTGCCTTACAGAGTCAGTGTGCTTGTATATGTGTGCTCTGGTAGCCCCTTCCTTGCACGTTGCCTCTACAACAGCCGTTGGCTTGAGCAGTGCTCCTCTTCCTTGTGTCAAGGATGCTGCCCAGGGGCAGCGCCCCGGAGGGCGACTTCAACGACCAGGTTAGTAACCTCTGGTCGTCAATACCACGCAGAGCTGGTGCTCGTCAGCCGTGGGAATCAGCCTCATGGTTTGCGCATAACGCGAGCTGGCCCTGGGACCTGTCAGTGACACGCCCCGCTTCTGTGGGCCCCGTGCCAGTGCTGCACGAGTCCAGCTTGATGCTCAAGCGGAAAGCTTCCGCCAGCATCCAGCCGCTAGTAGCGGAAGAGATGGCTTTCGCACTTAATAGTGTGCTCCCGTCGTACAGCGTACGAAGGCGACCGCCGCGATAGCGCTGTTTTCAAGCTCACGGCGTTGGTCAAAGCATGGCCAGACGCCTTCGAGATCGTCTCACAGTGTGCCGACGAGATCGGTCGCGTCGACCTGGACGAGCTCGACTTCAGCATTGAGGCAGCGCTCAGCTACAAGGCTACCAACACAGTCGTGCGCCGCCTTAACTCTCTCAGCAATTTTGTCCAGTGGGCAAACATGCAATCCCCAGTGGTGGAGCCCTTCCCAGTGTCTGAGCGCGCCACTTGGCGCTACATCCAGTGGATGATGCGCAATGGGAAAGGGGCTATTAGCTAGCAGCCCCTCTAGCTTGATTCAGAGCCTGAACTGGTGCTCGGGAGTCCTGGGCCTGTCCTTCGAGTCGGAGGTGACCAGCTCCCGTATCGTGGGCCTTTGCAAGAGCACGGAGGCCAGTGCGCCTCCGCCGAGACGGGCTCCTGCCCTTAAGGCCTCAGAGGTGGCCGCTCTGGAGCGCATCGCGCTGTCTGGGTCCATCTGGGGGCTTGTTGTTCATGCTTTTTGCATGCGCCCGCGCCAGCGACGCGGCTCGGGTTGTCTCTTTCTCCGTCGAGCTCCCAGAGGACCCCTGCGCCACAGTGTGGATGCAGGCGAGCGTGCAGAAGGCGAAAACCGCCGTCGGGGCTAGAAGCCGCCTGCTGCTACCGCTGGTAGCCCCGGTGGTTTTCTTCGAAGAGTCGTGGGTGAGCCAGTGGCTCGCCAATCGAGAAAAACTGGGTCTGAGCTCCAGCGGAGAAATCCCGCTCGGGTCAGTGATCCCTGCCTTTACATCAGATGGTGATCTAGCCGATCGCCCGATGAACTCTCAAGAAATAACGTCCTGGCTACGCAGCGCGTTGTCCAACGCCCGATGCGAAGGCGCAGAGCGCCTCAGCAGTCACAGTCTCAAGGCGACGTGCCTCACCTGGGCCTCGCAAGCCGGCGTGAACCTGGACCTGCGCAGACTCCTCGCCCACCACGTGCACGACAGTGCTCGGAGCACTGAGACGTACAGCCGCAACGTGCTCATTCCCGCAGCGCGGGCTCTGGAAGAGGTTCTTATCGCCATCAGAGATGGCGACTTTCTTCCCGACCAGCCCCTCGGGAAACAGTTCGCGCTGCCTAGCAGTCAGCTTAACCTCAGGCGAGAGAACCTTAGCAAGGCTTCTCACAAGGAAAACCTCCTCGGGCTCAGCACCCCCAGTGGGGGTGGAAGCCCTAAAGGTCTCGCAACAACAGGAGCTCAGCGACACGGAAGACAGTGCCAGTGACACTGACCGAGAAGACGAGTTCGTCGCCGAGCCCGAGGTCGAGGAGAACCCTCGCCTTCAACGGGAGGTGCAGTGCACTCTCCCAGAATGGGCCTCTTCGTGGTGTCATCTTGCCAGTGGCAAGCTGCACTCGAGCCGCGGCGAGAACGCCAAGAGGCTTCTCTGCGGTCGCTGCTTGAATGAAAAGTATATGAGCTGCGAAGTTCGCAGCCTCGTGCCAGGCCGACCGCACTGCAAGACTTGCTGGAGCAGCAAGTCTTTCGATGCAGAGTGAAAAAGAGAGCGAAAGCATCAGCCAGTCTGTCCTAGTAGGGTCTTGCAGTCTGCACAGTGTCGCTGTCTCTCTCTCTTTTCATCTTTACCTGCCCTGCAGGACGATGGCGAACCTCGTCGACAGTGTCGCGGAATTTTCGAGCAGAGCTCAACAACCTAGGAGACGCCGAGTCGGCGAAGCTCTTTGCGGCAGACATCCGCACCTTCGGAACGTTAGCGTACAGCGTCGCTGACCAACCAGACCGCATCAGCGATGCGAAGTTTGAAGAACTTCTCAAGAAGGTCTTCTCGGCGGCAGAGCCGTCTCTGGGCACAAAGGCCGCAGCGCGGCGCCTGGCCTTCGAAAGCCTGACCTTCAGCATCCAGGATCTGAAGATGAGAGTCGAGGGTGACAGCGTCACCCCCAAGAGCTTGCCCATGCACGAGCGCGAGGAGCGCCGGGCCGCGCAAGTCGCGCACCTCAGGGGCGTCGTCATCGAAGGTGACTACGACCCCGCGCACAGCCTTGTCGACAAAGCCGCGCTCATGCTGCAGGACGGCATCGTTCGTTACATCCCACCGTCGCAGTGCGTCAGTCGGGATGCTGAGATCGCCTCAGTGAGGCGTGACAAGGACTTCCTCTCCCTAGAGTCTGGGGAGATCACAGTCAAGAAAAAGGAGCACAGCGTGCACGTGGAGATCGGCAATGAGCTAAAGCTCACGCAGGCCCTGATGCGCAGGGGCCTCGCGCTCGACAGAGTCGGCGTGTTGGACTTTACGATCCACGAGAGACTCGTGCGACAGTTCTTTTCCGTCCTGAACCGGCCAGCGCCGCCGGGGATGGAACGCGGCAACAGTTGGCACGTAGTACGCGCCGACAAAGAACTGTGGACGCTGCTCGCCCGAGAGTGTCGCAAGGGTTGCAAACCGGACAAGGATGGTAAGAGGCCACTAGATTCTCTAGTAGAGAACATGTGGTCCGATCCTATCGTTACGCTGCACCTCCTCCCCTCGCCAGTGGCGGACCGGGGTCGCAAGGGCAAGGGCCGCGGCTTTACGCGCGGCGAGGAAGACCGCAGTCGTAGCACGACCGGCAAAGGCAAGAAAGGCGGCAAGAAAGGCCGCGGAAAGGGCAAGGGCAAGCGGCACGAGAGCGCAGAGCGCTCCAGGCCGCCGAGCATGCCAAAAGAGCTTCGCCACTTGAACAGCGTTTCTAAGTCGGGCAAGCGCTTGTGTTACGGTTTCAACCTGCAGTGCGGGTGCGACCTTGAGACCTCCGGCTCCCCCAAGCAGTGCGACAGGGGGTTGCACCAGTGCATGAGGTGTGGCAGCTCCGAACACGGAGCCGCTGAATGCCCCAAGGACGCAGGGGCCGCCTGACTAGGCCCCTCTGCCCCAAGCGCGGCAGAGCCGCAGCAGCCCTTGGCCACTGAGCCCGCAGCTCCTCCCCCAGCAGCGCTGCGCCAGCCTGCTACCGCGACATGCGCAGGGCAGAGCCCTGACCCTCCCACCGCGGCACTGTCGTTGCACCTGCCTGCAAAAAGTAAGCCAGGAAGTGCCACCGCAGCGCCGCCGCCTCGAGCAGAGCTCGCGGCAGACGCCGGCCCCCCAACGCTCTTGTTGTCTGAACAGCACAGCGTGCCGGCAGACAATGCCCTGGGCACTGTTTCCCCTGAGACTGCTCCGCGAGCAGCTCCCCGTCCACCACTTTTCGTGGAAGTTTTCTGCGGCCTCGGTCGCCTTAGTAAGGCGGCCGTCGAGAAAGGTTTCTCGAACGTTGCAGTCGATCACAAGACCAAGGCCAGAGGCATCAAGGTCTTGCAGCTCGACCTTTGTACGCAGCTAGGTCGAAACTTGCTGAGAGCAGTGCTCTCACACCAAGACTTGCGATGGGTCCACTGGGCCCCGCCGTGCGGCACCTTTAGCAGATCCCCTCGTATGTTCCAGGATGCTTACCATGATATGCCAGGTTGGACCACAGCTCATTCTGCCTCTGATGTACACTTTTGCAGCCTGCACACCGCAATGACCCGGGGAAGGCTCGACCTGTCCTCACGTGTACCCTCCGAAAGCTTCTGCTGTCTAGCAACAGATGCATGTCAAGGTCTGTGGCTGCCTGTGATCGCGGACCCTGGCCCACACCCTGTGCTTGCTCGCCCTACTGTCCTGCTGTCCATTGCTCACTGCCCAGGTCTGTGGCAAGCCGATTCTATCAGCCGACACCAGCAGGCTCGACTGCTCCAGCATTCACAATGGTCAGATGCGGCTCGTGGTGTGCAAGCCCTTGCACCTATACGTTCCGACTTGCATGTTGCTGTTTGCATTTGGGATTACAGCGGTTGCTATGGCCAGTATGTACACAATCAGGCCCTACAACGATATTGTCGATTCCTGCATTCTGTGATATATGACATTTCGGAACACAGATGGTGGTGCTGGCCATACTTATTCCGTGTAGCCTTAACGAGCAGAGTTGAACCATTTTGCGTGGTGCTTGCAAGCATGGGGAGAGATTCTCGCAGCGCCCCGAAGCCTCATGACTCTGCCGACACGGTGGAACCTTTGGCGAAGCGGGCTAAGGTCAGAGATGCACTGCCAAGACGTCGACCCATGCAGGACTCCGACCAGCATAATCAGACTCCCTCTTCGCCGATGACTCGCACCACTGCTGGTGCCTCTGCCAGTGCATCAGCTGGTGAGCTCAGGCCACGTGAACCTTTGCCACGACATCGGCAGCTGCAAGCCAAGTCAAAGACAAGCAAACCCGCCGATAGCCCAGGGAATGCAGCCGTGGCACGTACACCAAACAATGACCCGACAGCTCGTGGACCAGTTGCATCCAGTATAGTGGTCAGTGAATTCTCGGACGGGGTCCTTATTAAACAAACCGGACTTCGGGCTCGAAGCCCATCCTCCACTCCCGGGACAGGAAGCTCAAGAAGACCTCCTACGCCACCAAGGTGTCTACGTGAAACTGCTCATGGTATATCGGTCAGTACTCAGACAAGGCGACCCAAAATGGTGAACAAGGCGGTGCAGGTGGGCAAATGCGGTCTCAAAGCCCAGTCCAAAGCTCGTCCCCGAAGGCCAGATACAAATGCTACAGACAACCCGGAGGAGGCTCCTGCTCCTGGTCCAAAGGACACTCGTGCCGAACATGATGATCTTCGCCGTCAAGCCGCTGATGCAGTGCTGACTTCAGCCCCCTGGAAAAGACGCCAAAAGGCCAGAGCAGGTGCCCGCGAGCCTGCCAAGGATGGTGTTTCCGAGGGATCAGCTCGAACGACCACAACCTCAGCAAACCCTGTGGCCAGTATGACTCCTCTTCCGACTACGACAACCTCGCGCCAGGGTGAAGCCACTGGGAAGAATGCTGCTGCATCGAGTACTCCGAGCAAGCCCCTGAGCAAGGTCCCATACACAGCTGCTGGTGCCGACCCACAGGAGGAAATCATGGAGCTCCGCTTCGATCAACTTCAAGAGATGCAAAGATCCGCAGCCAGCAGGAGAAACAGTGTTATACAGCGTGCGCGCATACAGCAGCAGCAGAATGCATCTTCGAGTACAGATGTTGCGGATGCTTCGCTATCACATGCACCTACGACGGTCTCAAATGCCTCCTCTGCATATATGAAAAAGCGTCCACCGTATGCAACCCTCAGCTGTCTCGCATGCTTTATTCTGTGCGGCTACATTGCACCTGTGACAGGTCTGTACATGGTCCTCCTTGTATTGGTGGACCTTTGCTGGCATCGTGCCAGCCCGGTCAGCTCCCCTGGCAATCGTTGCTCGATGTCTGCGTGGTGCCTACAAAATGCAGTGTCCTCTTATCCACATCTTTCTGTCAGGCCCGGTGATCTTATGGATGGTTATATACCTGCTGCAAGAGTTCTGGTCTCAGATTCACTCCTGCCTTGCAGAGATTTGTTCGTACCTGCTACAACAGCCACTACGATCACAATGGCGGAACGTATGCGATCAGGCCCCTGCTGTTGCCACAGTGCTTTTGTGTGGTACATTTGTTGCCTGGCATGCTACCCGACACACCTGTCAATGGAGTACATATTTTGTGCAAACTGCCTTCTCTTGGATGCGATACCTGCACCCTTGGTGCTGCTATGCATGTGGATGCCTCTATTCATACACGAGAGTCTACATCAGGTTACTCGGTACCACTACACTCCGACACACCCCCCCACCAGTTCGCTATTGCCGCCCCGGTCCCAAGTCCGGGGGCCCCTGGGGACTATGGATGCTCATCCTACTGTCTCAACTTCTTAGAGTCTCAGGGGTAGAAGCGAGGGTTGGAGCACCTTCGGTGGGTGCTCCGGGAGCCGCGCAAACGGTGCTCCCCGGTCGCCATCAGGCGAAGCTACACCGACAACGCAAAGAACAAGGAGACTTTATCGTCAAACGTAGTTTTCTCAGAGCACAACGTCGATTGCAACAGCATGGGACCACATGGTATCGCAATCGCTTATACACACACCACGATGAGCTAAAACCTATCCCGCTCCGATCCGGTCCACAGCCGAATGATCCCAATCAGGCTCGGTATGCCCGGCCTCGCACTGCTGTGCCAAGCCTGCCATCCTGGCCACTTCAGCAGCCCGCACAATCTGTTACTCCCATACAGTCCAGTGATGTTGGCGTGGTTACTCTTAATGTTGGCGGCTTGAGCAAGGAAGGATATGACGAATTGGCACAATGGTTGAATCAACCTTCTACACTTCGCAATGTTCAGATTGTATTCTTGCAGGAGACCTGGAGAAGTGCATCTGAATTCTCCACGCAGCATTGGCACTGGATCCGGTCAGGTGCCGGTCAAACTGCCAAGGCCAATAATGGCAGTGGTGTAGCTGTACTGATCAACAACAAGCTTGCCTCATCGTCACACATTCGCTACCAAGAATGGCTCCCAGGCCGTCTCCTCGAGGTTCGCATTACGGAGGACAAGCGACGTCCTCTTCTGCACAGACCCATCACCCTTGTGTGCGCGTATCAACACTCCAGAATCTCTCACAGTCCTGAGGTGTACGCTAAACGGCTCAGGTTCTGGGAGAAGCTCCAAAAATGCCTGGATGCAGTGCCGACCCGGCACACCCTGATCTTTGGTGGTGATATCAATACTGGTATCTCCCCGATGTCGAGGCTCGTCGGCAAAGGTGCTCAAGTCAGTACCAACCCTGCTCAGGACCAATCCGAATGGCAGGACATTGTACACCAGCACCGTCTTTGTCTTCTGAACACCTGGGGATCGCCGGCCAAAACTGCTACATATGTGGGTGCGGAATATTCTACACTGATTGACTTCCTGGGTGTTAGAGAGAGTGATTCCGGGCATCGCGCCAAACTATCCAGACCACAATCACAGATTCACTTGTTTTCTTGGCGGTCTGGGGCCCGACACCTGCCTGTGTATTCGGTTATCACTCTCAAGAATCCGTATCATCAAGCAGTGACATCCTCGACACAGTCCCACACAGCCCGTATGGACCATCTAGGCATGGCTCACACACTGCTGCACGATCCTCAGCAAGTAGAGCAATTGCGCAGTGTTGTCAGAAACCGGCTGACTTGTGCTTTACAGGACCAGCCCGTGGATGCAATTATGCACCCTATGCACATTGACGCCATCCTGCGACACGGATCCCAGGAACTCTTCCCGGGCACACGCCTCGGCTCTCGTCCGACGGAAGTATGGGATAACGAACAGACTAAGCTCTCGCTGAAACATGTTTGGCAGGCACGTGCGCAGCTTCGCCGACATACCCTTGGGCCTCCACTTCGTGTTGCCTTTCATCTATGGCGTGCTCATTGGCGACTTGTCAAAGCCCGCAAAGCGCTGCATTCGCAGTCCAACAAAGCGCGACGTGATAAATGGGACCAACAGCTTACCGAGGCGGAGGAGGCCTATCACAAGCATGACTCTCATTCTTTCTTTGCTATTGTGCGTAGACTTGCACCACGTCGTCCACGACAGCGCATTATGATGCGTAACAAGGATGGAACACTATGCACACCACAGGAAGAAATTGGGCTGATTCATGACTACTGGCGCGGTGTATTTGATGTTCCGACACTCCCTAAATGCTCCGGCTATCTGTGGCATGGCCTCAACATTACCACAAAGGAGGTGGAAATGGCCATCAGCAAATTATCAATGCGTAAAGCCTCGGCCCCAACCTCGGCTCCGCTCTGCAGCTGGCGTGCTTGTGCTCCTGACATTGCTCCTCTTATACAGGAATATTTGGCACAGCATTGGGGTGAAGGAGAACATGCAGGTGACGAGGACATTGCTAGGTCCTGGCTTGTCTTTCTGGGCAAGCCCAATAAACCCAGCAGCAAGCCCGAAAACCTTCGACCTATTGCTCTACAACCGGCTCCTGCCAAAATCATGGCCCTCCTTTTACGCTGGCGACTGCAACCGTATGTGGAGCAGCTGCTCCACCAATGTCCACAGTATGCATACACCAGAGGAAGAACCACTACGGATGCAATATCCCGTATTGCCCAACACTGTGATTCTGTTCGAGCCAAAGTCAAACAGCAGACACTTTCACTCCATGAACGACGACAGGGCGCTGTACGAACCGTATGCACCGGTGGTGCTCAGCTGACTGTTGATTGCTCCAAAGCTTTTGACAGTTTACCTCGTTGCACTATGATGACCATGTTAACATGGGCTGGTGTACCACCCGACTTGGCCACTGCTATCATACAGGTCCATCAGGCTGGCACTTATCGTCATGGAAACGTGGACGACCCTGAATCCTGGATGGATATTGACAGTGCTCAAGGCGTGCGGCAAGGCTGTATGCTTGCCCCATGTTTGTGGCTATTGTTCGTAACATACCTCTTCCATCACCTGGACACGACAATGGGAGGAGCTGATTCATGGACATGCCAGCACTCCACTGCCTTCGCCGATGATCTTCACTTCAAGTGGGATCTTGACGATCCCAAAGCCCTGGATCGGATGAAGATGGAGGTCGCCACGGTACTCTCAGTGCTCAAGTCCTTTGGTCTTCAGATCAGCGCAGAAAAATCCACCATGTTGATCGAGATCCGCGGAACAGCAGCTGATGTTTGGTTGTCCAAGAACGTCTACAAAGATGCTGAGAACAACAAACACTTTCGTTATGACACGTTTGCCAAGCTCTCTATCCCGCTTGGTACCCAATTCAAGTATCTTGGGGTCATATTATCCTATCGCAACTACGAGCTGGCCAGTGTCAAACATCGTGTACAACAGGCTGCCATACACCATTCCCGTCTTCGTCGCATTCTGCAAGGACGCGGGGGCATCAGCCGGCATCAACGACTTCGACTCTGGCGCATCTGCATTCAGACAAGCCAGCTCTACGGACTCGAGGCCACAGGTGTCACGGAGGCAGGGATCAAATTACTACATGTTCAAATGCTTCGTCACCTAAGGGCCATTACAGGTCGACCCAGGCATCTTGATCGCAGCACTGATCAGGAATTGTTGGACAGTCTCAAAATGGCATCGGTCAGGCAGATGCTATCTCAACGACTTCAGTCGGCAAATACCCGTCTTTGCTCCAACACTGATCTGCCATGCTACGACAAAGACAATATACTGCGACGTATTCAGGCCTTACAAGCAGGTATTGACCGACCGATCTGCACACAGCGGGTCTCTACCGCCTTGACTACACCTGTACAGCAGACTCCGCATGATGATGTTACGCCGCAGGAGCAGAAAGTGCGACTCCAGGAACTACCCGCTGACACCAAGCAATTTCGATGTCAGGTATGCGGTCAGTCTTTTCCGTCTTTACATTTGGTGAAGACCCATGAAGGAAAAGCCCACAAGATCTTGGCACCGAAACGGGAGCTGCCCCAGGATCGCTCCGTCTACTCCATCAACGGACTTCCGCAATGCCGTTTTTGTGGCTACAAATTCACGAAATGGAGTGGCCTCCAAAGACACATACAGCGGAACGGCTGCCCGATTCTTCGCCATGAAGATCCCGCCACCTTTGCCGCAACCGCGCCCGCGACTACAAACAAGGCTGAAGATCCTCTTCGTACTACACAACATGCATGGGTGGCCGACTCGACCATTGCCACCACCATGCCTTCAACTGGAGATCAACCTCTGGTCCAAGATGCGCAGCTACAGCAGGATGCCAGCAAGTACACGTGGACCAAGGTGCTTCACATGTGGCGTACAAAACATGACTTCAAGAATGTGTGTGTGTTCTGTGGTCAATGGGCAGTGGATGCCAGTGCTCTCAAACAGCATTATGCCAAGCAGCATCAGGCATTAACCAATCCGTGGATCGCAGCATATCGGGCCGAGTGTAAGCAGCTAGCTAAAGTTGCCGTATCTAAGTGCCGCTTCTGTGGTACCACCACCACGGATGCTCGTCAGCATGCCCACAAATGCATACATGTTTTTCAGGCCTACATGCTTACCAGCCACGTCTCAGGTCGAAATGGAGGACATGCCGGACTTCGATGCCGAAAGCCAGATCCAGAGCCTCCTCGGGGGCCTCTCCTCAGTCGTGGATCTCAAACCACTTCTGAATCCAACGCCAACACCGGCGCGCAATCAGTCCCATCTGACCAACAAGCGTCCGAGGGCGGAACAGTGGACTCGAGGCACCGGGAGCAAGGGCGGCGGCAAGGGCAAAGGAGTGGCCTCCAACGGTACTTTATCACAGGAGGATCTTCAACAGCTCCTCAGGCAGATCGTCGTCCTTCTCCTACGCCAAGGCGACCAACTCAATCGGCTACAGACGGATACCGGATACTATTTGGTCTTTCAAGTCCCGGGCGACGCCACCATGGTACCAGTTTTGATTGCGGGAGCGCTCGAATGGCGCAATCAGAAGAAGGCCGACCCGACCAAGCTCACCATGTCTCTCCGCATAGCCCTCATCGGACTCTTCCTCAAGGAGCTTCAGATGCGTCTGGAAAAGATCCGGGCCAACGACCAACTTCAGGAGAAGCTCAAAGAGCAAGGCCTGATGACGGACGAAGGTGCTTGGACATATCGCCAATGGTGTCCAAAGAACAAAGCACTTCAACTACAGCTCAGCAGGGATCCGATCAAGTGGGACGTCCTGATGACACACATCACGAATGCTCTCCAAGGACTGAACAATCAGGACCACATCACACGTTTTCAGGCGACCAAAGCCCTGGAAGAAGGACAGATGGGTCCCACCCTTCCATTCCTTCTGGACATCTCGCTCAAGCCGAGTGCGTGCCGTCTACACCAGAGCATGAGGGCATTGGTGGACTGCTCGGCCATGGAAGCAGTCGGCGCACGTATTCGACCCCAACGAGCCAAGCGATCTCAACTCCAGGATCAGCTCCAGGAGTGGCTGCGAGGCAGGTTCTATCATGTCGGTTGCACAATCCACACAATATCTGTTATGCCAACTCTTTCTTCATTGCCCTTGCATGGCTATTTGGTGAGGTCTCGATCTCTGAACATGCCCAGGCTCTATTTCAGATCTTGTGTTTTATCTGCCAGCACGGTCTCAAATTGCTGTGTCTGCCTGATCACACGGCTTTTCAGGCATTGATTCAGGAATGGCCACATTTTGACCGACAGCAGGATGTGGCAGAGTTTGCGCAACATGTCCTCGATCGTACATGGCCGGTTCAGAATGTGCTTCCAATGAGTACTTGGCAGTCTCGTGACGAATCAGGATTCTCAACCGATGAAGGTCAGCACCTCATTATGCTTCCGATGCCCTCTCGCGGTTCAAACTCTGAGATTCAGCTGTCAGGGCTGATACAAGCCTGGGCTCAGCAGTCTCCTGCACCAGGGCTGTGGCCACTGCCTCGGTTTGTGTGCCTGCAGCTTCTTCGCTTTTACACGGTTGGTGCCAGAGTTCGCAAAGACCAAAGAGCAGTAACGATTCCGCTTCAGGTACGCTTACCAGTATTTCAAACCGAGATTGGACCGCGACCAGCTTGGCGTATGTATAGACTCCGAGCCCTCATTGGGCATCACGGCTCCACTCCGCGCTCAGGTCACTACAGAACGCTGCTGATTCACTGGGAGTCCACCCAGGAAGATCCCCAGTTGTATTACACAGATGATTCCTGTATGGCGCGTCGCCCCACAAATGCACAACTCCGTGTGTTGATGACTGAAGTCTACTTGATCTTCCTGGAGTGCGTGGGGTATGTCAGCTCACTGTAGATGCGGTAAAACAACCACTCGGGTGCTGCACTGTACATGCTTGCATGCTTTGCATTATATCAGTGCCCTCTTGATTCGCCGCCCTTTTCCGGCTTTTCATGCATATGCCAGCTTTGAGCGTGTGTGCAGGTCATTATGCTTATCTTTTCTACATGGCGACTCACACTTTGGTGGGAACACCGACGGATTCAGCTGCAGTTCCAAGCCTAGATGCTGCCTGTATGCCCTACAATTTACTACATGACGTGCCTTTCGGTATTTATCAGTCCAGACAGCGTGCCCAGTGGATGGATGCCAGAGGCACCTACAATTCACTTGATGATGTACCACACTGTCTTCAGAACCGATGCACGACATCCAGTTTTCAGGCACGTATGGCATCCAGCAGTGGTTCACATGGCACACCTGCGCAGCTATTGGTCCTGGTTCCGGCAACATCTGATTCTCTGGATGATGTACCACATTGTCTTCGAGACCGAGGAAGTGAACCTATCTCATGTATCACGATGGATATGCTACATACCTGGGCCGATCAGCCTGCATCTCAACTTCTTACTCCCCACCACCTTGCTCAATTTTTGCATCGATGGGGTTTTTCAGCCGTGGATATTGTTGAATGGGGCATTTATTACTACTTTGAGCAAGCTCCATGTACAGATGCAGAGTGGAAACAGGTGCTTCTTCAGCAGCTCCACCGCAATGTTTATCAGCTTTCCATGTCTGGTGCCATATGCTATTTCAAACAGCTGCTAGTGGGTGCCCATCGGGAGGACTTTTATGAGGAGCTTTACACGGTGGCATGTCGTCGCATTCAGCTGGATGATCCTACTACTACTATGACCACTGTTCTTCACTGGCTATATATACTGGCCACGTATGGTACCTTGGTCTGATGCCTCTACAGCTGTTTCTTTGACTGCATGGCCTTTACAGTCTGGTGGGACATGCTATCTATCAGCTTCCCATCCACTGCTCTTCAATCTTCTGTATGGTACCTCTGATTTCGATGGTGTTGCTTCATCAACGGTCTATTTACAGCATGGGACTTCTTTGTACATGTACATACGGTCGAGTAGTCCAGTCCGTCTGGTTTGACCAATGCCATGTGTACAAAGGTCTAGTAGTCCAGTTCGTCTGGTTAGACCACGGTGTATATACGATCGAGTAGTCCAGTTCGTCTGGTTAGATCGATGCCATGTGTACAAAGGTCTAGTAGTCCAGTGCGTCTGGTCAGACCGATGTGTATATACGATCGAGTAGTCCAGCACGTCTGGTTAGATCGATGACTTGTGCTCTGTCTCACCTTTGTTAATGCTGACGTTGGTTTTTAAAACCACTCCTGCAGTGTTTGCCCACATGTGGCTAGCCCGGTGGGATTCACTGCTTTTGCTCACTCTGAGCCGATGCCACTGTGCATTGTAGCGTAGCGCGAGACTGCTGGACAGTTTGCGTCATACAAAGTACAAAAGGTACACCTTTAGCAGAGCTAGAGAGATCCCCAGGCCGGGAGCGCCGGGCCCTTTGCGCAGCGAATCGCGCCCAGCGGGTCTTAAAGGCCTCAGCGGAGCAGACGCCGCACGAGTTCGCAGCGCGAACAGCCTAGTTGCCTTCATGGCACAGTGTTGCCACTCCCTGTCTCAGCGAGGCGTTTGCTGGTCCATAGAAAATCCAGCTCGTAGTCTCCTCTGGAGGATGCCCTGCCTCAGAGAGGCCTTGCAGTCAGCCCACAGAGTGGAGTTTGACGCTTGCATGTTTGGCAGCATGCGCCGCAAGCGTACTGCAATCCTCTCGAACCTGGATTGGTTCTCCGGTTTAAGCAGGGACTGCGACGGAGGCCACAAGCATCTGCCCTGGGTCAGAGCCTCAGTGGATGGTTCCACAGTGTGGTCTACCTCTTTGGAAAGTGCTTACACCACTCAGTTGAGTTCAGTATGGGTCTCCCTCGCAGCAGACCAATGCGCAGCAGAACTTCAAGCAGCGCCACTCAGCCGCAAGCGTCTGCGACGCCTGCGCTACGAGCCAGACTTCAGTGACAAAGTCACTCTTCAAGGCCCCGCAGCGCGGTGCTTTCGAGGCTGGAAGACCCCGCAGAAGCTACCACAGTCTTGGTCTTGCTTCCCAAAAGGCTCTAGGCTCATCCAGTGGATCGAAGCCTCTCAGAAAGCAATCATCGCCATCCCGCTGCAGCCACTGCACTGGGTGCGCAGAGCGCATCTCATAGATCACCCAGCCAGGGACATTGAGGCAGTGCCTTTGTCTCTCAAGCGCGCCATCTCTGCCGAAGTGCATCAAGACACTGTCCTGCTGGCCAAGCGCCGCACACTGGCATCGATGCAGATCTCGAAGACTTGCACAGAGTGTCAAGCCCTCGAGGCCGAGGTACGCTCCTCGATTGACGCTCAGGTGAACAGCGTCACCAAGCCTAAGCAGACAGTGGCTTTAGAAAAGCTTCTGAGTGAAATCGACTTCCCAGACAAGTCAGTGGCCAAGCAGGTGCGGGAAGGTTTTCCCCTGCTTGGCTGGATACAGCCCAGTGGGCTGTGGCCAGTGCAGATTCTGCCTCCTTCTCTAGATGAGAAATCGATACTGGAAAACGCCCATAGTATAGGTATGCGCGGCATTCGCCGCGCGCTTCGCCCCTCGCAGGACGGGGTTTCGGATAAGGTCTGGGAAAGCACAATAGAGGAAAGCCAGCAGGGCTGGCTTTCTTTGGAAGACTTTTCGCCAGCAAAACTGCACGAGACGATAGTATCGTCTCGCTTCGGCGTTGTGCAAAAGGGCAAAGTGCGCCCTATTGATAACTTTAAGAGCAGCTTTATCAACAAAGCCTCTCGGCTCAATCCTGTTTCTGCTGCGAGTGGTGGGTGGGGCGGGGTAGCTGTAGCTTCGCATGGTTTTCAGCAGCCGTCGGTGCCTCTGTTCACTGCGCTTGGTGCAACTTTTCATGGTTTTCCTTTACACGTTTTTCACGATTTCCTTATTTGGCATGCATCATGACAATTTTATTCAGCAGAGCACTACAACAGCAGCAGCTTTACATGGATGTGATGTGGCCGCGGCGGTCCCAAGTCCGTCGGCTGTGACGTCTGGGTCTCAACAGGGAGCTCTGGACAGCAGAGGCGAGGGTTCGGAGGCGAAGCACACGTCTCTGAGGAGCAGCATACATCATGATGAAGACGTGGCGACCGGTGCTGCGAAATTTTGTGCTACAGGCCAACATAGCTACAGTTTTTCCCGGAAGAGATCATACAAACGAGCAGTAGCGCGAGCAGGTCGGGATGGCTTTGCTCGCTACCGTGGTCGTATCATGCAGGCTCACGAGCTTCAAGCCCAGTACCGCCCAACGGCGCAGCAGTCTCCTTCAGCAAAACCAGCCACATCCGGTGCAAGCTCCCAGGCATCAGCGGCGATCAAGCTTTTGACTTGGAATTGCGGCGGGTTTTCCACGTGCAAGGACGAATTTTACACATGGCTCAAAACATGTTCATGTGACGTGGTCTGCTTGCAGGAGACCTGGATGAGGGAAAGCTCGGAGTTTGTTGCGGGCGAGTGGACATGTATTCAGAGCGGCGTGGGCACTTCGGTGTCCAGAGCACAGGCAGGAGTCATGATCATGCTCAAGAGGTCGATCTTTGACAGCGGCGCCATTCGCTACAATCATGTGGTTGCAGGTAGAGTTCTACATGTTCGGGCGCAGAGCAAGCACGGCTGGGTGGACATCGTAGGCACATACATGCATGCATGGGGGAGTAGAGAGAGCGACACCGAGATCGTGAAGAAGCGCTCAAAGGTGTGGATGGCATTACGCACCACTCTTGGTCAGATTCCTCGAGGTAGCCAGCTTTTTCTCTGTGGCGATTTCAACACGATCACCCAGCCCACCCCTCCTTGCATAGGTGCAGGCACGTGCGATGGCGAGAAGGAGGACTCCTTGGACTCAGCCGACATGCTGGGCATCTTGCAGGACTTTGGACTGCAGGCTGTGAACACTTTCGGCAAGCATGGTAGCTACACCCATGTACTTACGCAGCGCGATAAGCAGTACCGCTCCTTCCTGGACTATGTCGTGGTCAGGCGGCGAGGCGCTACACTCAGGACAGCCTCTCGCATCATTGGTGACTGTCCTGTGGCTCGCTGGCGTGGAGGTGGACGGCATCTACCTGTGGCAGTCACTTTGCACTTCAGGCGTTTCCAGTTCGTGAAGCCTCGGCCTCAACCACCCTGGCCGCAATGGAAGTGTGCTTTGCTCACTGCCAGGATTGCTCAAAATGGCCCGGATGTGCAAGCCTTCCAGGCACAGGTGGAACATGAGCTGAGCCAAGTTTCTGTCTACACACCGGAGCAAGTGAACAGCATCATCCTGAAGGCCGGCCGGCAAAACTTTTCCATCGAGCGCCAAAGCAGTTTGCAGCCGCCCTGGGAGCATCACCAACATGTTGGCACCATTAAGCACATGTGGTTGCAGCGCAGACTTGCTAACCAGCAGTTTCGACTATGTGTCTCAGGTCTCCGTGCGTGCTTTCGTGCTTGGAGGTGCCATTCTCGCTTTCAGCAAATGCATAAAATTGTGGCCCGCAACAGCAGACTCCTCCGGCGGTACCGTTTCAACGAACTTCTTCGTCGGGCCGAGGCTGCTGATTACCACAACCGCGTGGATCAACTTTTCTTCTTGTTGCGCAGGCATGCCCCCAAACAGCCACGCACGCGAGCACAACTTCGATCGAGCACGGGTGCACTGCTGATGCCGCAAGCCGAGGCTAAGGCCCTAGCCACGTACTGGAAAGAGGTTACCACAGCTGCTATCCCGAGCCAGGCACCGGACCCGCTTCCCTTTGACATCCGGCCGGAGGCGATTCAGTCTGCTCTCGAGGCCCTGCCGGCCAACAAAGCCGCACCCGCCCATTATGCTCCACATGTTCTATGGAGTTGTGCTGCGCCCTCTGTGGCACAGGTGCTGGAGAGAGGGCTGATGCAGACATGGCGACAAGCAGCGGCCACGG